GGTCACGAGCCGCCCCTGAAACAACTGCCTAACGCAAGCTGTTGCTATGATATTCTATTAATTTTAATTGTGCTTTTTAGACACTGTGAATAATCGTAACTAAAAAGTATAAAGTGTAATTGAAACCACTAATTTATTCTACTAATTGCGAGGTTCTGAATGAAACTTAATTATATAAACTAAAAAAAAGATTCAATGAAACTTTGACGTAACAACTTTCTTTCAAAAACCCCATCTTTTAACTCAAAAATTAACCTCGACTGACAACCATTTAATAATCTACTACCCTAACCGTTCAAGAATATAAAAATACACATTAAAAACTCTCGGGGTCTCGGTGCAAGAAAAGGACGAGAAAAAAATTTATCTGACACCCATTAATTTTGCCAGAAAAGGGACAGACTCTCTCCCTAAATTCCCGTTTAATATTTAGATGGAGTCGAGCAAAGGATCGACGTGACGTGGATTTTTCCAGAATGTCGGGGGTAAAATAGAGAAAAATGCGGTCCTGATCGGAATTCTTGCGTAGGACACCCACTCGTGTCGGTCGTGTAGGTGATGTTTTGAATAAGATGGAGAAGGCGTGAAGAAATTGCGGAGTGTTGTTGTTCAAATATACTTATAGAGAAACATAATATAGGGTTTATACATATTTTTTACGTAATAAACATTTTGTCAATTGTATTTCCAAAATGTTGATAGCTTGGAGTACAATGTTAAGTCCTAATCGTCATTTTGAATCAAATTAAAGGATCTTTTAGATATCGCATGTATAAACATGGAATATTCTTTCAAGCCAGTTGAATTCCTGTGACTTGGTGACTATCAAAATTTTAATATTTCTTATAAACCAAAATACGCAATTAATTCATCGATACAAAAGTTCCACTTTTTCTTGCTACTATCCAACCGTTTGGTCTCTGAAAAACCTCGGGAAAATATCGAAAATTTTCCCGATAAAACATTATTTTCGCATAGGTGACATTCGCTGTTCCTACTGGGATTATATTGAATATAGAAAAATATCGCTGGGGAAATAACGATCTACTTTCCTTGACTGAATTTATTCTCATTTCCACAAGGACCTCGCCGGAAAGCACAGAAAGAAAATATATAAAAATAAGATTTTCCAGTACTACGCGAAAAAATATAACAGGCACGTTTTTTGAGGTTGCACAGACAGATTTTTGAGGTTAGAACTTAAATTACAAACCTGACGTTATTAGATTTTGAATATATAACATTGATTCTTTTGAATCACAGACAAATAAGAAATTCTTATCTCCAAAAAAGTTCTATGGGTATTCTTCGGCACTTTAAGAAAATCTACAAAATGAAATAGTTATTTTTTGTAATCACTGCTGGCGTTACTCCAACAGAGACCAGCTTTTCAGCAGTGATATATTAATAAACAAATTTGCCTAACGGACAAAAAATCCTTAACGTTTTGGGAAGTATATCTCTTCCCGTCGCACAGTAGGCAATATGTCCAAACCAAGTTGCAAAAAATAACATCCACAGTTAGCATTTATGGCAATAACATTAGATTGGAAACATATTAGTTAAGAGAAAACCACATAAAACTAACAAAAAAAGCATATTCGGAGTCTCTTTCGAGGGGCTGTAAAACGAACTTTGCGCAAAACCTACATTTTCAGTTAATTTGTGTCCAATAACTGCCATTTTTCTACAATTTTTTAAATAGTAGGCGTTGCATTCAAGTGACACAGTATTATAACAATTGAATCGGACGACCTTAGCTTGCTGTCAATAATTTTGTGAAATTGTCATAACGTGTTTTACGTAGATTCCCGGTTGCGGTAAATTTAATGTTAAGGTAAGTAAAAAAGTATCTTTTATTTCGATTTTTTGGATAAAAACTAGGTAAAGGTCAAAGTAGAACATAATCATTTAAGGTTTTTTTGATAGTGGCATATATTCTATCTTAGAAAAGTTAAGTCAAAAAAATCGCAAAAAATCGCAACATTAAATTTATTGGAGCGTAAGCCTCCATGCGTGTGTGTATAGTAAGATCCTTTATGTGGATACTTCTCATAAATTAATTGTTATAGTAGCTAGAGAAGAACTTGAAATATAAAGCTACGTAATTTTTCTCAAGATTTACGAAGAGGTATGTCATAAATGTCAAATGACATTTTTTGACAAATTGATAAATTTTGACAGTACCTAATTTTTTTAATTAAATGAAATGGTATTTTCTTTCAGATTTAAAAATGTGCACTTTGTGACTTCCAGCTGTTATAAAACAAAATATCAGTAAATAGTAGGTAAGCTTTTGTGGGAAATATTAGTAATTAGCAAAGTAGGCATTTCAAAATCAGAAGGGAAAATGCTATTTAAATATATCATATACGGGGTATTTTATTTAATTTAGGGATACCTGTTATCTCATTGTGACATTACGCATGACATCATGTAGAGGATTCTTATGAGTTTTACTGGTAACCATATTGTGATGCACGGGTAATATCACTCCGCGAAAACTGTAGGTATTCCTAGCTATTATAGCAATTTAACAATAATTCATTTAAGAGGGGTGTCCAGATATAATGGATATTACTTTACAAAAAATGCATTTAGGCGAATACATCACACATCAGACTAACTAAACTAATCATGTAGGGTTTTCTTTTATATACTGACACCCCCTTTATCTTCTTTATTTGGCGTTTCCGAAAACTGTCTCAAATGAAAGTGGTTTTGAATAAATTTGTGAAAAAAGTCTATTACGCATATACAAAGTGCTTCAAAAAGTCTGGGCGTAGTTCAACTATCTTATTTCAAATTAGGTATAGGCTATGCTACATAAAAGTAGTTAGGATTTTTAGGAGAAAATAAAAATCAAATAAAAAATTGGATACTAATTTGAAATAAGAAAGTTGGGCCACGCACAGGATTTCTAAGGCACCCTGTATATGCAAAGAAGACTTTTTTGAAAAATGTATTCGAGACCATTAAACTTTTATTCAAGAAATTTTTTCGAAAACGTCGAATAAAAAAGATACAGAGGATGTCAATATATATATAACAAACCCTGTATATGGCGGAGGAGTAATAATTGCTCAATATTTGTCTGTTTCATCTTGGCTCTGCCAAAAATCGTAAAATTTAGTGAAATATAAAATATTCTCACCGCATTTTGGTAGTTGTATTAATCAAAAGATAACTTTTCCCATTTTATGAATCCCCCCCACCACCCCCAACCACTCTCAAGTCAGCCAAAACTAACTGGGTTCACAGGCTACTGGCATAGAATGTTTTTACCAAATTTGAATGAAATCGTACAAAAAAGAATTTTTGCAACATACTTCTGGATTTTTGCCCACTGTGCGTCGTCGGAAGCAAAAAAAACACAAGGAACCAAGAAAAATACTATTTAAAATATCTTTTTTAAACAGATACGTCTATAAAAACGGTTGACGTTCTTTTAAAATGACATTATATCAAGTTAAACTTCAAAATTAACAATTACTACCTGATAACAATTACTTAATAAGGTAAAACCAGAAACCTTCAAACTTTCTGTATGATTATATATTAGTATTTTTTAATTTGTTTTTAATTTTTACGTATGTTATATTTATTTGTGTTATGTTCTTTAAAATCAAAGAAGCGATTGACATACATTACTAACGATAATTCTGTACCTCAGGAACACTTGGGCTGAAGTCCAGTTTATGCAATTTTACAGGAGAGAGAGAAATATGCCACTATTTGCTTACTATCTTTGGATGTCACAGTAATGAAGTAATAATGTCACAGTAATGAAAATAATAATATTTTAAAATAAAATTAAATTACACAATTTATGGTGCTATGATAGTTCTTTATTTATTAATATAATAAAGTTCTTTCAATTTTAATTTCCTAAAAAATATACTTTCATTAAAAAACATAATCTATTATTTTTTAATTATATTGTCAATAGCAGTTGGGCTTAATTTACTTCACCATATACACTTTTAATGATCTGGCGTTGATAATGGTCCATTCTTTTTGATGGTGATTAATAAAAATCTATCAATATACAGCTGTCAAAAGGAAATTAATATCCTTTTTTTGTCTGTTTCCAAAGTAGCACTTGACAGAAAGTGCAATTAATATCTCTGTCTGAAGTTTTAATTGATATACGGAGTTATATAAAACTTGTTTGATTAGCAGAGAAAGATTTGTAGAACTTTGAAGAAAATATTGTAGAACTATTGCTTCAAGTTGCAAAACCCGTCTTATCTCAAAAACGTTGTTTCGAGATAATATGCAAAAATTGTTTTAGTAAATGTGTGAAGTGTTATTTTTCGAAAAACGTGTCTATTGAGTGGAATCATAGTTTTGTATCTCGTTTTTCTAGAAATTAAAATGAATATTTAATTTTTAAAGAGAAAAAACACAAAAATAATTCGGATAAGGCGGGTTTTGGTGCAGTATGATGCATATTGTGGATTTTGCTACAGCAAGATATTTGCATCTTAACTTGATTTATGAGATTTTGAGACATTTTATTAGAATTAGGTTAAGGATTTAAAATGGAGTAAGTTTGAAAAAATAGCCTATGAAAAAATACGAGATTTGCAAAATAATGATAATAAAAAGCAAATATAAGTGGTTAAGACGGATTTTGCTGCAGTAACGTAATTTGCAGTAAATTTTATATAGGAATAGGCGACTTTTGCTGCAGTTTGAGATTATGCTTATGTAGATTTCAGGGTCCACTATTAATATGTGTAGGCCTATTCTTTTTAAACGGATAAGGCGGGTTTTGCAACTTGACGCCTCATTGTACTAAATTAAAATAGATTTCTCTGATCTCAATCGCGATATATTAAATATGCGTAAAATGCGTGAATTCGGTCATCTTGTGATCACACATACTTGTCGCTATTTTGAAAACACCACTTGAACGCCAATAGTTAAACCGTAGTCAAATAATTAAAGCATCATACTATATAAAGCCTTTCTATAGAATTTATGTTCTGTTACAGATGTTCCGTCGATCCGTATCTCTTCGAGAACTTCAACACGATCGACGGTGATAATTTGGTGGCCAAATTTAGGGCTTTCAAGTTTCCCGATTCCACCTATGTGCAGTTCAAGGGCACGGTCAACGTCTGTCTAGACAGATGCAAGGGCGTAAGTACTTAGTCTACTCTAACTAATTTACGCTTATTAACTTTTCCTAATTAATTGATAACAATAAGATATTTCTTTTATAGTTTGGTTAACTAAAAACTTTTATAGTTTGTTTAACTAAAATGCACATTAATCCATCTTACTACTTTAATTAACGAGTCATTCCAAAAAGGAGTTTTTCCAAACTGCCTTAAGACAGCAATAATTATTCCTCTGCATAAAGGAGGAGATAAAGATGAAGCTTCGAACTATCGCCCAATTGCACTCCTGCCCACATTATCTAAGATCATTGAAAGATTTGTTAAAAAAAGGTTTCTGTCTTTTCTCTTTAAATATAAAATACTTACTACCCATCAATTTGGATTTCTAAGTAATAGATGCACATGCTATGTTCGACCTTTTTAATAATGTGTACTCTAGCCTGAATAATCATCACTCTACAGCTACAATTTTCTGTGATTTCTCTAAGGCTTCCGACTGTGTAAATCATAATATTATCTTAATTAACAAATTGCAATATGGATTCAGGGGAGTGCCGCTCGAATGGCTTAAGTCATATCTTGGCAACAGAAGGCAGCTTGTGAGGATTGATACGTCTATGTCTTCTTGTAAGCCTATAGAATGTGGTGTCCCTCAGGGTTCAATACTTGTTCCTATTTTGTTTCTGGTGTTTATCAACGACATTGCAAATCTAGACATTAGCGGTAAAATCTGCCTCTTTGCGGACGATAGTAATTTCACTTGGAGCGGCCGATGTTACGGCACTATATAATACTATATCCAGTGACTTACTCACCATTAAATCTTGGTGCGATTCTAATCTCCTATGCCTCAACCTATCAAAAACTAAAGTTTTGTCATATAAAAGTACTATACAACCTTTTGTACTTAATAACACCACTATTGACGTCGTGGACTCTGTAAAATTCCTAAGACTTGTTGTAGACAACTCGTTAAAATGGGACTTTCACATCGAAGCTCTATCAAAGAAATTAAGCCCTGCCTGTTTTGCACTAAGATCAGTTTCTAGAATAGCCTATTATGCCCTTTTTGAGTCACATCTCCGTTATGCCCTGCTATTCTGGGGTACTTGCTGCGCAACAAAATTTGATCGTATTTTCAGACTTCAAAAGAGAGCAGTTCGATATTTATTGGGACTGAACAGTAGAACTCACTGCCAGAATTTCTTTAATAATTTCAAAATACTGACTCTTCCTTCTTTATTCATTTTTGAATCCGTTTGCTTAATCCGCAAGCACATATCTGCTATTCCCGAAAGGCCATCTCATAACTATCCACTTAGGAATGCGGAGCACGATCTTTATCTGCCAACCCCGAGCTCAAAACTAGTTACAGGTTCATTACTGTACAATTCCAAAAAAAGGTACAATCATCTGCCTTTAAATATCAAGTCGCTTTCATTCTTTCCCGCATTTCGCAAAGCTCTGAAATCATACTTATTGGAGAGAGCCCTACATGCGGTAAACGACTTTTTTGTTGATGTTTAATCATGAACAATTTTGAATTTTAAAATTCAAGTATTTAATATTTTATAGCTCTTAAAATTATATCTATTTACTGCTTATTGTTCTGCAATTGTCTATGTATGTTCTATTTGTCATTTTAATGACTTAAATTTTTTTGAATTGTATGATTTGTATTGTGTATTTTTTGTTGTTTGTATATTTTTCTGTGCTTTTGTTTGTTTTGTGAGTGCTTTGTCGATGAAGCTGTTTTGGCTTTTTGCACAATAAAGCGTTGTTTTTGTTTTTGTTTTAAAAACTCTGAAAATTGTGTTATCTCCTCTGGAGTATTTCTTTAGAAATCCGATTTCTAGTGTTCTCGCAACTCAAAACTCTCAACTCACTGTAAGGCGGTACAAAATTAATCACGTCAGCTACTTATTAACTAAATCTGAATATAACCAAGATGCTATTTATTCTGAATCACCTGTATACGGCGGTTTTATATTCGAGCAAATATAAATTCGCAATCAGCTAATTTATTAAACAAAGAGAAACACAAACACATCCTTTTGTAACTCGTACATATGTAAGCCTTTATTAGGGCCGAACCTCTCAAATATGCCGCTTGGATAAAGCAAGGGCAAAATATGGATTTGTAGGGCATTTGAAGGGGCCCGTTGTTAGGATTAAAGGCGATACAGAAACTGGAAATTATCGTTTAAATAAATAAACCAAAAATTATGCTAACTCTTATCCAGATTTACAAACGCGTTTATTCTGTTTCTAAAAACTATGCAATCTGTATTTTTTCAATGTCTGAGTCCACTACTGTACGGGGTGGTCTGAATTGTCATCGAGAAACTTTTTTTTCCAAATAATTTCTTAAATAACGTCGATATTTGGACGGAAATTGATTTCTAGGTGTTTTTTGACACGGGAAATTTAATTTTAATGTTAATATGGCTCCTACTTGTACTACCTGTACCGGGTGCATCTCAAAAGTGGCTCAGACCTATAATTTTTTTAATTTTTTTAGATAAAAAAAAAGATTTGGTATGTTAGTATATGACATAAATTAGGATTGATTGACGTATTCAATAGTTTTTGGTCAATTCCTTTTCACCGGAAATGACTACAACTTTTGATTTTTAAATGGCAACCTCGGTATATTTCTACCAATGACTAAAGAATACAAGGACATATAACACCCGAGACCAAATTGTTACTATGGCCCTAAACAGTGCCGGGGCCATATATTTTTCTTAACTCACCTGCTTAAAGGGATATTTATATTTTTGTTAAATGTTTTGACTACGCCTATGGTATCATACTAATTAATTACGAAAAATAAAACGTATTAAAATGTTAACAAAAGGTACAAAACTAGTATCAACGAGTAACACATATCAAGTACATATAGTATCAGAAAAATAATTACCAAATTCAATAAGAAAACGCTACAAAGATGGAGAGGACTGTTTATTTACTTATGAAACGCAACTCCTGGCTCTTTCTTATCATTGCGGGCGTTACATGTCCTGATGACACTCTGAAGAATGACACATAATATGTCAAATTTTGACATTTTCGTATATGGTTTATTTGAAATTTTAACATGCGGTTCATAACAACAACTTGACTCGAAATAGCAAGTGTGTGGTATCAAATTATTCGTAAAAAAAATTCTTTTCCAAATATGTTAATGAGCCACCCTTGTTCCATTTGAAAAAATTGAGATATGATTAAAAATACTATTTGGGCATCTTTTAACCGGCTAGGACAAGACACGAAAAACATTTGACGATCAAATCTATTTTTCCAAGGTTCCCTGATTAAAAATTAGTGTTTTTAAAACAGCCATTTTTTAAGCGAAAATGATATGTCATTCTATTCAGAGTGTCACTTTCTATTGAATAAAGAGAATATACCGAGGATGCCATTTAAAAATCAAAAGTTGCAGTAATTTTCGGTGAAATAGGAAGTGACCAAAAACAATTGAATAAATCAACCAATCCTAATTTATGTCATGTAGTAACATACCAAATCTCGTTTTTTTATCTGAAAAAATAAAAATGTTATAGGGGTGAGCCACTTCCGAGACGCACCCGGTATATTTTCTAACTGATTTGGAGGGTAATAACTTTCTGTCCGTACTTGTATTGACTCTCTCTTTCTCTCTCTTTCTACTGAAAGAAAAATATACCATTTCTACCTTTTTCAGAAAAGGTCTCTTCATAAAAATCGCCTCAAGCAACCGTTTCTAAGATATTGGGAATCGAAATAATCAATACGTGTTATCATCATTAATATTTGCATTTATTTACGAGATACCCTGTATATTTTTTTTATTAATTCAGTTTCCATAAAATAACAGGCCTATATATTTAAAGAAACACAGAACCATAATAACATTAAGAAATGTTTCTCTCAAGTTAAATAACCCTTTTATTTTTAATTTATTTTGAAAATCGTAAACCCACCACCACTTAAAATATTTTTGTATTTTTTAAGAGACACCCGGTATATTTTCTTTAACTTATTTACTTAATTTTCAGAACTCTTTTATATTTATATTTTTCATAATTCTGGGGTATATGAGACACATTTCTTTATTTCTTGTTTTACACACATTAATTCATTAAAAACAGCCAAGTATTGTTTTTTATTTCAATCTTAATAAAACCATTTTTCAGCGAATAATCTGCATTATTTATTTGAATACAGAATTAAACTGAAATATTCCGCCTACGGTAAATCGTGAAACATTTCACAAATTAATTTATCTATTCAAATTGCGCATCTAGCAATTCAATTGAGTGCCACCCCTGCTCTTCGGCGACAAATGCGATATCCTAATTGAATTTATTCATAGAGGGGGTTTCATTAAAATTGCCAATTCAAACTAATGAAAAATAGTTTATTTACAAGGCTATAGAATGTCCGTAATCGATGTTAAAAGTTAAAGAGAGAGAATGTTGAAATGTATATTGATTGTAGATTGTATGGGTGAGGGGAATTAATCACCGTGAATTTATAGATCTATAATGTCTTCCTTACTTGAGTTATAACTCATCACTCAGTGTCAGGACTTTGACGAAACCTAGTATCTGAGGTGGTTTTACAAAGGTTTGTTCTCCATCTCTGATATCAGTAGTACCAAAGTTTATGGTACGAATGGTTGTCATTTCAGTACACCATCTGGTGAGGTGTTCTGGTAGTGATGGGTTGTTATTTAACTATCTGTTATTTTATAACAATTATTTAGAAATAACATAACGCAACCGTTACTACTTCTAAAAAATAACAGATATAAAATAACGACACGTAGAGATCGACCGTTCGTGAAAAGAAGTCGGCGCTCTGCACCGCCACGAAATTCGATGCTGCTCGAAGCAATTCCAAAAAACAACTAGTATGGATGGAAAACGTGTTATTTCGACAACCATCGATACAGGCGGCGAGATACAACGGACAACGGAGTGGGGAATGCGCTACGGCGCGGCGAACTTAGCTCCATCGGTCGATGGTCGTGTT